TTGGCCCCAACGGAGGCAGTCGGTTTGGCCAGCTGCTGTTGTTGTTGGTAGCCGGGAGTAAAGTGTTGGGAGGCAGCAGTAGAGAGGTGCTGTTGGGGAAGAGGTACACTGGCGGCAGGAGTCGGGACAGGGGAGTTCGAAAGCGGCGTGGAGGTGCCTTGACGTGAGCGTTGGTGAGAAGCATTATTGCTTCCGTTAAGGTTGGCATTGTTAACGCAGGATGAAGAAACTTGGTGGGTAGGCGTTCGAATGCCAGTGTTCTGGGCCCCGACAGACTGATAAAAGTAAATTTTAGGAGTATTTAAAGGCAGAAAATCAAAACTATTAAGTTGGTACGAGGACACAAAAAACCGCAACAGTTTACTCTGAACGGTATAACCATCGCCTCTTAAACAATGGGGGATCATGTAAGCTCCAAGCAGTGGTATCTTTGTCGTCTCTACTTTCCTGGGACATGAAAAATTCGAAGTTTACCGAACCATGTGAGTTCGATTAATTTCAATCTTTTCTCCTGAGCAGCGATGCATAGTCATCTGCTAACTCACGACGTGTAGGATTAAACAGCATAAATTCATTGCAATTTTTCAGTTTGGAGGTGAGTCGTCGAAACGGAACCCAAATATTCGGATTGACTAAAATCAACTTGTTAACTTTTCAATAGAATACTGCTGGCCCAGAAACTTATTTCGTCATATTTTCAGACAACTACTTATTCGTCTTCTACGACTGCAAAACGCAACCACAGGAGATTCGATTCATCATTTTCCAGTAGTCCTCATGCGGTTGTCGATTTCGCATCGACCGATGGAATCTACTTAGAAAACATCTAGATCGGAGGTAACTTGTTGGGACCGGAATTATCAGATATATGCATAAAGTTAACAAGAAGCTCGTTAAGGAGTAGCAATTGAATCATATAATGGAAACCATAACAAAAAACGACTCACTTGTTTGGTCTGATATCGCTGACTGTGAGCTTGTGCCGCTGCCTGTTGTGCCAGCTGCTGTTGTTGTGCCAATTGAGCTTGGTGAGTAGCTAGAAGTTTCTTCTCCTGTTCGCGAATATAGCTCTCAAGCTTAGTGGGGTTTGCGATTATGTCCTGGTACTCTCGTTCAATCTCACGCTCCGCAGCACCATTCTGTTGCAAGACCTGCCTCACAGAATCCTCATATTCTTTTTGTAGGCTAGAACGTTGATTTCCGGCCAAACATGCCTCGCAGATGACAGTTGAGGCGCCAGCTTTTTCTCGCTTCCATACTGGCGTAAAGTCTATGCCACACTTGACACAAGAAAAGGGGCTAAACGTCCGACGGGGTTCGGGCTGAGAGCCAGCAGATGAGGGATCAAATTCCTACAAAGATTTTAAACAGTGAGTCCAAACTATAAAGAACAAAATGGGCATACATTTAAAGAAGTCTGCAGACCCTTACGGTAACGAAACGCCTCGTGTATCGTACTGATTTTACATTTCGAAACCCCTAATGCACAGGTTGCAGTTAACTATGTCGGCTACGAAACAACTGGCAGTCATTTAAACAGAAAATTAAGAAAGATGACAAGCGATTGGTTGGATAGAACACAGCAGTAGTAGACAGCCAGTGACTTCAAAAAGATGACCTCGGTATGACGACAAGTGAATGACAGGATGCCTCGAAGGTTGTGAGGCTAGCTAAGAAGCTTTTTTTTGCAGCGCAGATTGCAATTTGGATTCGGCAGTGTCGATGTCAGACGAACTATAGGGAGCCCGAAGATTCAGAAAAACAACTGCCACCAACCTCAAGTTGACAATCCAACGCAGCAGTATAAACAGGGACTTAATACAACGATTAACATCGATACCC